CTCTCTCTCTCTCTCTTTTCTCTCTCCTGTCCAGGGTGCATGGATGGTGTGGTGGGCGTGGCCGCCCGGGTGGCATTAGTCCAGGTGCCATGGCTCACCTTAGAGGAGGAGTCAAGTCCTGATCTAACCAATCACATCTCTGGACTGGAGTCGATGCTGAGTGAGATGCAACTGAGGGTGAGAGAGAACCAATAGATCGTTTTGCTTTACAATGAGAATCTGACCGTCCATATTTAAACGTGTGGCGTTCTACAGGTGCCTGTTGCGTTCTGGTCTGTGGAGGCGACTCAGCCGGCCTGGGTCGAAGGTCGCGGGGAAGTGGATGAGCCAGATGACACCCTGGAGGATCTGATGGAGGTCGAGGTCGTTGCTAACAACAACATTGCCGCCTGCTGCCACCCGCCGTGCTGCGGACTGGGCTGTGTTGGGTAGAGGGGGTAGTTCAACTCATCTTTATTCATAGAAACAGGAAGCAGAATTAATATCAATCAACAAATCGTTGCCAATGACCACTGACATCATCATCATGACATCGCTGACGAGGAATCATTCTCATGTCTGTTCAAACTAAATGTTCAATATTTTAAACCAAGTAATAAAATGAAGTTATAACAGAAGGTATGAAGTTATTTCCAACAAAGGTTGTAAAATGTTTCATATAAACATCAGCGATGACAATCCTGACATGAGAGGAAATATATTTTGAGATAAAACTTTAAACGTGATATTTATGTGAATGAAGAGGAAGTAAAAACTGTCAGTGACTGCAGAAATATTGCTTCATGGCAAGAACAGCTGATCAGAGTTTGTCGGAACTGTCTCAACTAAAGGTTCTTGAGCTTTTGACGGTTTGACATGAGATGCGTTCGAGGTGGACTTGATCTGACTGAGTCTCGATCCTCTGACGCCGGCAGAGTTAAAAACACAGATGTCAAGTCAGACACTTTCAACTTCTCGTATCGTCAGTGAGACGAGATGAACAACGAAGTTGACTGAGAACTTTGTTTCAGATGAAAATTAAACTACAGTGTAAAGTGACCCTGTGTGGAGAGAAATAATTCTTCTGTATTAATCAGCACATAAGAAAATAAGACAAGAAATAACAGAAACACTGCCAGTGGTTGTATAGCTCCACACAATATGTTTATATATATATATCTTATAGCACTGTACATGGATATACGGAGCGTCATGAAGCCTTCAGCCAATCAGAGCAGAGTTGTGATGTCACCGGTGCAGCAGCTTGAGATCAGGTTTTTTTTAGTCATGTGAGCTGGTGATGTTTTGCAGCGCTGGATGAAATCTGACAAAATATTAACCAGCATGCATTGTGCTCAGAGCAGCATGCATCATATTAAGTCATTGCTGCATCAACGCACCTGACGTCTTCATCTGAACACCTGATCCAGCTACTTCACTTCACTAGAGGGCTGATGGGAGATGTAGTTCTTTTGCCCATGAATTTTTTATTTTCTGGTACATAAATGTCTTATTTTATCACTTTAAGACACTGGAAATTCAAACAAAAGAGCCGTCACAGTGTTGAATTAAGAACTTTATTTAACATAAAAATATTGTACAAACAGACGTTACACAGACAGAAAGAGATGAAGAAGAAGAAGAAGAAGAAGAAGAAAATGTGGAGCTGCTTCACTTCTGGAAGGTCGAATGTAGATGAGCTTTAAAGGCTGAAAGAAACAAACAGAGTTAGAACTACAATTCCCATCAGCCCCTGTTGCCAGAGCTTTAACAGTAAATCAATCTGCTGATCAAAAATAAATAAGCAATGACTGAGCATAAGATGATCAATGTTCTGAACTGAACCAGAAAGCTGCAGATTATTGACTGTTCATCTTGATTGAAAAACGAAAAATGATTTGATCAAAGAACAATAAAACTAATTAATAAGAATTTAACAAGAAACGGATCAATTCTGACAAAGTGTCAGATAATCAATGATTTTTATGATTTTCCTTCTTGATGTGAACATTATTATTTATCATATACCGTTATAATTGATCATACTTATTGATCATTAGTATGAGATGACTCCTCCCTCTGAACCTTCTCCACAGGAACACAAACGTCACTGAAAAGTGGGTCATTATTGTGAAGTGTGTGTGTGTCTCTCTCACCTTCTTGATCGTCCCACAGTTCGGCTGCTGTTGTGTTTAGAGGAGACTCGTTGTTTGGTTCTGAAAGATCACACACACACACGATGGTGAGTCAGTGTGACATCACTTCCTGAAGTCATCAGCTCAGTATAATGTTGATCAGTCAATCAAGCTGCTTTATTTTGACAGTACCTCCCAGCAGACTCTGGATGGACAGGAGAATGGAGCGGACATCGTACAGCGCCGACCACTTGTCCTTCAGGATGTCGAGACAGATGAATCCGTTCTCGTCCACGTTGGGATGAAAACACGGCGTCACAAACTTTACTCGAGGAGCCTGGTACGGATAACCAGCGGGAAAATCCAGAGACAGACGGTACCTGAGGCCCTCGTACACCTGAGACACAGACAGGTGTTCAGAGAGAGACAGACAGGTGGATTTGTGTGAGGATGTGTGTTTTTCTACCTGAGTGTCTGCTCTAGCTGTGACATAATGAATCGGTCAGTGATGTCTGTCTGTGTGTGTGTGT